GTGTGTGTGTGTGTGTGTGTGTGTGTGTGTGTGTGTGTGTGTGTGTGTGTGTGTGTGTGTGTGTGTGTGTGTGTGTGTGTGTGTGTGTGTGTGTGTGTGTGTGTGTGTGTGTGCGTGTGTGTGTTGTGCTACATAGGGCGATATGTTTTTTTTGCCCAGCTTCCTCTGGGCAGCAAGTGCAATCGGATTTGCCGTGGAATGCAGGCCAATCGCATTCGTCCCCGGTTGTTGTCATTCTCAGAACTCCGACGAGTCCGTACGAAGCCCCTGTTTACACACGTAATCTGTTCTCTACGGGGGAAACGAGGCGCGCGCTGTGTGGTGCTGTCTACTGTCTATATAGATTTCTACATGCGCATCAAACTCGAACTACTACCGTAATTAACCCTCGATTTGATCTCGAGTGTTCCCCTCCGAGTTGGCTTTAAATTTTGTATAAGTCTCAGTGGACCGTATAGTTGCTAGAACCAGTCGCTGAGTACTTTGGGGGTATTGAGTAGATGTTGAGTAGAGAGAAAGGAGAGAATAGGGAGCTATAATACGAGGGAGGATGGGAAAAGCTGGATAGGGAAAAGTGGGTGTGTAGGGTAGAAGGTAGAAAGCAGAAGGAAGATAAAAGTATGGAGAAATAGGAACGAGTGAGGAATGTAGAATAGGAAGAAGGCGGACGAGGGTGAGACCGACGAATGCAGTTGAGAGGACAAAAGCAAGGTTTCCTTTTCTATGCTTTCTCCACCACCTCTTTCTACACCTTCCAACCTTACCTTCATCTTCATTCTTATCCTCCCTTCTTGCTCTACTCTATTTACCATTCTACCTTTAGCTTGGTTGCTAATACATAATACTAAAGAATTGAAAGTATATAGAACGTTTTTATCAGCGAATGAAAAAAATCGTGACGTCACTATCTGCCGAACAATTGCGTTTTCAAATTTTGCAGTCTGTACGGGGTATAACGCGGCACGGCCTTATGTCCCATCGGAGGCCCAAGAGAATAAGTTAAGTTTAAGTTAACTAACGCTGTGATACGTACCGTAAAGTATCGGTGATATATCATTGCACATTTTAAATAGAAACACTTACAGAGTGGTTAATTTGGGCACGTCGGCAAAATCGTCGGCAGACACGGTCCTTATGAGGTTCGTCTCCAGCGACCTGTTAAATAGATTATTAACGCGTACTAGGTAAAAAAAATACACATATATATATATATATCTTATAATTAATTTATAGTGTTAGAGTGTATATATGTGTGCGTGCGTGTGAGTTTTTGTGTGTGTACGTGCGTGTGTTTGTGTGCGTGTATATACAAGCACTTCTCGTATACATATTATTTATATATATACATATACAGATATAGTATATTACATTATATATAGATTTATTTATTATTGCTGCTTCACAGATTTCAAATTCAGTCGAATTTACAATATAAAAGCACGGCAAATTATTCGGGGTCTGGGAAGTCTCGTATTTACATGAAATACCGGATCTGTTTAGATACCGTATTTCTTGGACCGCGCATTTTGCCTCGTGTGAACGCTAAATACCGGATTTCTTGCTACGTGTGAACGCGGCTATTGATCCTCACGCAAAGATGCGATTTTGCATATTTGCGATGTGCTGTCGTAAATATTATTCATGATTCACAATAACATTTGACCACGTATAACTTTGAATTTAACAAGAACAAAATTTTTTAATTTTATTATTTCGTCTCTTTTCTTTACGTGTTTTCTCTCCTGGCGCGAACGGAAAGCTATATGACTAAGGTATTTCACATTAGAATTCAGGCGTCTATGACCGCTGAGGAAGGGGGCGCCACGTATTAAAAATGGCAGCAATGTTCTAGAACGAAGTATCTCCGAATCAGCACGTGTATCTGTAAATATAGATGTGGTTAATACATAACCGCGCCACGTCAGGCGATCCTGCTTCCGCCCTCTCCACCCACTCTCCCTCTTTCTCTCTCTCTCTCTCTCTCTCTCTCTCTCTCTCTCTCTCTCTCTCTCTCTCTCTC